TCAACCGCAGTTGTTTGCTTGTTGATTTTTGTCTACGAAAATCAAGCGTGATCTTGGGCGTTGATGAGATTTGATTTTTTGATATTTTCCCAACACTGCCCACTAGCCTAAAATTAATGGGTTGGGACATTTTTCTGATGAGTTTTTTTTTTACCCTTAAAAACGCTCCAAATCACGATTAGAGCCGTATTAACGGAGATAAATCGATTTAAAGATTTTTATACCCGCCAGCCTAAAAATAATGGGTTGGGACATTCTTGGAGGAAATTTTTTTTGACACCTTAAAACCCTCCAAATCGCGATTAGAGCCATATTGACGGAGATAAATCGATTTAAAGATTTTCATACCCGCCAGCCTGAAAATAATGGGGTGGGCCATTTTTTTTTGGGAAAACAAATTTTGACACCTAAAAACCCTCAAAATCTCTATTAGAGCAATATTACCTTTGTTACTACCGTAACATAGGTATTAGAATTGATTTTCACGTCTTGCCGTCTGTGACCGATAGCCATCCACACAAGGTATCTCACCTGTATAAAACATTCCCAATTGATAGAACTCGGCTCGATCTGGCTCGACAGTTTGATTACGACATCGTAGAATCAAATTGAACATGAAAATGTGCGTCTGTGGACGCGTTTCATCTAGGCAAGCTTTTTTCGAGATGGCTTATCCGATCTATATGGTGGATACGTGCATGTCGCTTAACCCCGTTTTTTTCAGTCAGGGGAAGGCTTTATGTTTATTTTGGGCGTTATCTCGTGTAACATTTAAAAAGGGCCTATCCTCGTTGATCAATTCTCTTCATCGACTTTCTCTTTGGTTTACTACAGCAACATAAACGAATTTCTCGCTAAGCTCGTAGCACAGTTCGACAGAAGATGATGTTAGCTTGCGCCTGAAACAACATACTAAATGGGAAATTCATTTGCAGTCGGGCTATTCGCAAAAGAGAAAAACGATGAAGAGAATCGCGAGTTATCACACCCAACCGGGGGATGTAAGATTCTCTTACAATTATGTGGGATTCATCATCAGAGGATGTAAGTGGAGACCGCATGAACCGAGGATGCGATATACCTAGCTGCGGTCCAATGCAAGAAAATTGGAGACCGAAAAATGTAGAGTGTATTAGTGAGGTATATTAGTTATGTCGAAAAAAATAGAAAACAGATTGCCGACTGGACTCGAAGAACCACGAACTTTCCGATTATCAGACCTGTGCTTTCTGCACTGCTCTCTCTGCTTCTGAATATGGATAGCCTAAAAGCAAACATGAAGCACTCATTTTCTCGCATACTCGACTTCGTATGCTTTTTCTGCTGGAGAGATTCGAGGCAAGTGTGTGCGTCGTTCTACAATGTTCTTCAATGTGCGTCGTTCTACAAGCTTACTGGTATAGTTGAAAGCGTAGATAGAACACGAAATAAAAAAGACAAAAAACCATTACATCGCCTGCATGGTCAATTTCTAACATTCGTTGCGATGTTCATGAACAGAGGATGATAGGAAACGGAACTAACATTCATTGCAATAGATTTTTGGTTTGCGTGCATCAGAAGAAGAAATCGTGCGCAAAATCGTAGAATGTACGTATTTCAATAGACTTTTTCGATGCTTAATCGTCTTTCTCTATCTGAATCGACGGTGTATTTTTTCACTAATCTGTTTCCCTCTTGCTCGCACTCGTTGGATTTAAAAGGCTCAGTAGTGTGCGCCGATTAGACGTCGAAAAGCTCTATAAGACCAGTCAGATGTTGTTCCTTCAAATTTGTGCATGGCCGATGAGATCAACCCAAATAAAAACCTCAATAATCTGCTGGAAAATCAGGAAAATTTACGACAAATTTAGTCTAGTAGTAGGGTAAATGCTCCTATAGTTGCGGTACGCTAGAAGCGTTAGGTTCCTACACGAAAACCAAAAATCTATTACAATGAATGTTAGTTCTGTTTCCTATCATCCTCTGTTCATGAACATCGCAACGAATGTCAGAAATTGACCATGCAGGCGATATAATGGTTTTTTGTCTTTTTTTATTTCGTGTTCCATCTACGCTTTCGACTATACCAGTAAGCTTGTAGAACGACGCACATTGTAGAACATTGTAGAACGACGCACATTGTAGAACATTGTAGAACGACGCACACACTTGCCTCGAATCTCTCCAGCAGAAAAAGCATACGAAGTCGAGCATGCGCTTCATGTTTGCTTTGAGGCTAATCATATTCAGAAGCATGGAGAGAGCAGTGGAGAAAGCACAGGTCTGATAGTCGCAACGTCCGTGGTTCGAGTCCAGTCGGCAACCTTTTTTCTATTTTTTTCGACATATTAATTTCACTCACTAATACACTCTACATTTTTCGGTCTACAATTTTCTTACATCGGACCGCAGCTAGGTATATCGCATCCTCGGTTCATGCGGTCTCCACTAACATCCTCTGATGATGAATCACACATAATTGTAAGCGAATCTTACATCCCCCGGTTGGGTGTATAGTTGTGTATTGAGTCTCCATGAACAACTATAGGAACCTAAGGCTTCTAACGTACCACAACTATAGGAGCGTTTCCCCTATTACCAATAGATCGAAAAAATCTAATCGTTCAATATAATAATCCAATATTCTGGATTTTTTCCTTGAAAAGCGCGAAAAAGCTGGAAACATGAAGCAAATTTACTCATTGCTGAATTTATGCACTTTTGCGATGAGTAAAGGCATCATGAGCAAAATAATTACTAAAGGCCCTTTTAAAAAATAAGGTCTGAATCAAAATTGCGCCGATTAAAAAACATTTTTTTTTATCTTTATTTAAGACATTTTTAGCGATAGGCTACTTCATCTCTAAAATTAAAAATCAAAAAGCTATACTTCTAAAGCGGACGTCACACGTGTCAATATATTCACATGGAGAATAGTGTAACTGGCGCTTTATACCTTGGTCTACAGGGTGCGTGACAAATTTTTGCAGTAAATGACATATTTGAGAAAAATTACACCAGTTAGCTATTCTAGCAATGAATGTTATGTGATTTATTTTCTTTCGCAAAATATGGAAGTTGTAACTAATTTTATTGAAAAAAAATCGCCTTCCCTTTCGACGACTGTAGCTAGACGCTTCCGGAAACTGCCATATGCACGTTTGACAATGTTTTAATCCATAGATGTCATCACTACCTTGATTTTAGCTTTTAGGGACTTAAGTGTGGTGCTAGGGGTTCTATTGGTATTCCGTTCGACGATGCCCCTTACAAAATAATCCAACGGATTGATAGCGGGACTGCTTGGGGGCCAAATTTCTTTCTCCCAAAATTCCGAAATATTTTCCGCAAGCCATTTCTGTGTTTTATTAGCAGTATGAGCAGGTTCTCCGTTTTATCACTTTCCCAGGCCTTTTTATATTATACACTGTTCTTTCAGACACATTTATCCACCGAATTATTTCTGTTACGCTTACTCCGGCGCGCAACAAAGCGACGGCTGACCGATTGCTCTTTTGTTTCGACATCTTTACGTTTACTCAACACTGTTTGTTTACATCTTACACCTAACAGTATGAGCACTTTTGTGCTGCCAAATATATCTTAATCATGATCCGCAAGCATGAAAAATTACTATTTGAAATTTACTGCAAAAATTCGTGACGCACCCTGTATACATCACCCTCATTTTTGAGGGTGACATGGTACATCGTGAAACAAATCTGGAAACTCTAACCGATCAGCCCCGTTTGACGTAGCTATTGGGGGTGCCGTAGGCAGCAATTCCACATTGTTTTTCGAATTTAATTCTGTATTCTCGCGTAACATTTGAAAAGGGCCTATCATCGTTGACCGATTCTCTTCATGGACTTTCTCACAACATACACGAATTTCTCGCTAAGCTCACAGGAAAGTTCGACAGAAGATGATGTTAGCTGTATAGTCACTATATTCATAGCCTGGCGGAGAGAATCTCGGGAACCAATTGAGCTGTCAAATAGCTGTTTCACCAATTGAGCTGTCAAATCACAATCAACAACTGAAAAGAGCACATCAGCTATTGCGAACAAAACTTCCGGAACCCGTTTTCTCGTGACTTAAGGCACGCCTACACAACACCATCTTTGGGCCAGGCAAAATTTCCCCTATCCGATAATGCCGGTAATGTTCGTTCGATTGTAGAGGAAAGAATAATCAACGTTTTGTTTGTAAAACTTGATAGTACCATTTCAATTGTTGGTCTATAATATATTGAATTGGTTCCGTTTTTTGATAGATCGAAATTCTATCCGCCAGACTATAAATATAGCGACTATAGTTAGCTTGCGCCTGAATCAACACACTGAATGGGAAATTCATTTGCAGTCGGGTTATTCGCGAAAATCAATGAAGTGATTGATTTTTGAACTTTATTGGTTCGTCAAATATTATTGCAATATAATAAGATTTTTCATAATAAGATTGTGCTTAAAGTATGTAGTGCACAATAAAGCAGATTAAGTATAAAGTCATAAAGCTCCATTTGTAAGTCAAGAAAAAGAAAGTGATTTATATACACTTTGCACTACGTAAAACTCATACCAACTCCACATAGATAAGCCACAATTATATCTTAAAATTATTGTTATGTTAGGGAATAAACGTGAAGACGTAAAACAATTGATTAGTGAATTATGATTTGAACTCCAATTTAAACTAGCACTTGCTGTTCAATTGAGCAGTGCGAAACTGAGATCAATAAAAATAAAAATGTACATTGAGGCCTCGTATATCTATGGATAATTATTATTATTTAACTTTATTAGGGAGGCTTTCAGCCTTGGGCTGGTTCGCCTCCACCATATCTATGGATAATATCAAAAACGAGATTATACTGTGTAACAAAAGTTCTATTCACCTGCCTGTTGGATCAATATGGGTTTTTTAATAAGATATTTGCTGATTGCTCATGAGATTGACTCAACGTATTTCCAATGATTTGATGACGATTTTCAAAAAAATATCATATACTTCTGCAGGAGTACCCCAGGAAGTCTACTTACTCTGGTACAGATTTCCGTATCCTTTCGACAACAACGTCTGCATTCTTCAAGGCTTTACAGCAGAAACATCTGCCAACGCAACTGTTCTCACGATTACGGCCTTCACGGTCGAAAGGTAAGTTAATATGTATTTGTTGTACCCATTTCCATCACCTACTATATCTATTACCAACAAGCAGCGCGATCAAATAATTTGCATCAAACAAAATATATTTAAAACTTTTTCACGAACACACTAAAACAAATAACAATAATAAGACTAAACGCAGAAAAGCTGAAAATTCTCGTAAAAGTTTTCACAGTATTTGACAGTTTTTTAGCGTTCCATTTTGTTACGCAATGAATGAAGAGTGTTAGAATGTCGTGACATATTAAGTAGGGGACGTTTCATCCGACATAAAAAGTTAGAATAACCACATGCCAAACAGAAAAGGATGTTTAGGCTGTGTCGTATCCTTGTTGAATTGTTCTTCCGTTTCGAGGAACGGCAACAAGCAAGGCCAACATGAAACAAATCTTGGAAATGTGAAACACAGAGCCATAAACACACACTTTGGTTGTAACATAGAATCAGGTTTACCAAAAATTCCAACGAAAAGAGAATGCCTGCAGCATTAATTTTATTGACATTGTTGTTTGCTGAGTTTCCAAAAAATATTTCAAACCACAAAGTTCTCTTTCCACGATTTAATTTTTCAAGATTGATGGTTTTCTTCACTCCATTAGTAGTCTTAAAAAGCAATATATTTTCCTCTCCATTATAGGTACGTTGCAATTTGCAAACCATTCCGATCGCATACTATGTCCAAGCTGTCACGTGCCGTTCGGTACATTCTAGCCATCTGGGTGATAGCCATGTGTTTGGCGGTACCACAGGTAATATACACAAACATGAAGATTAATTATCGCAGTTATATCAATCGTCTCATTACTAGATAGTGCCGCATTAAAACGTAGTTCAAAGCCTATACCCTCAAATTTCAAGACATTGAAGATATATTTTGAAAAATGATTCAAATAGTTTATTGTCATTCTCGACTTCTGTCAGCACGTTCGCAAGCTAGTGGAAGAGTTTCCATTTCCTTTAGTATTGTTCGTATAACAAGACATATGAAGACGTGCATCTATCGATTCATTTATGTATAAAATAAATCAATGCATTCCAGCATACAGGCACGCATCTTTATTTCAAATCCGATGTAATGTTCACAAAAGAAACTATTTTCAAACATGAATGCTTATTCTGATCTGTGCTTGCGGTTGTTTCACGATGAAATAACATTCCTATTGGCAAATCACGTGGAGAATAGAAGAACTATGAAAGTGATGATTATTTCATAATTTTCCACGGAGAAGTATACGAGTGCAATCTTAAAATGCTTTTATTTTTCTAATGGAGCTTTCTTAAATCTGGTGGCTGCTACGATGATAGAAAAGCTGAAATCTATATAGGGGAAATGGATGTAATGTCGACCTAAATGCCCCTAATTTGGGCCCATACATAAATTCAACAATCGAATAAATTTTCAAATAGCGACCAAAAATATACATTAGTACCATCCCAATGACGCGTTCATCTAGATAAAATTGATGAATGGCAGATTTTTAGCGATGGGCCCAATCTTTGATCCATAGGCCAACACTAGAGCAATTTCCCCTTTACAACAAAAGATCTGAAAAGAAATTATTGTTTCTATATTATACGTCTATTGAGTAGCCCTTAAGTTTTCTACTGACACATCAACTAGATTTTATTAAAATAATTTGTTCGCAAAATAAATGCATTTTAAGATTAAACTCGTATACCTCACCGTGCTAAATTTTGAAACCTTCAACACTTTCATAGTTCATTTTTGATTTACCAATAAGGTTGAAGCAAACTAGGGTAGTAACGATAGAATGGATTATATGAGAGAGAATTATTACACGCAAACCAAAAATTTATTACATTCAATGTTAGTTGCATTTCCTAGCATCGTCCGCAGCGAATGATATGAGTTGCATGACCACGATGCAATGAATTTTTACCTTTTTTATATTTTGCTTTTTATTTATAACATTGTCGAATGACGCACACACTTGCTTCGATTCTCTCCAATTCCTGTTCAGCAGAAAAAAGCATGCGACTATGAGCGCTTCTAATTCGCTTTTAACCTATCCATGTTCCAATGCATGGAGAGAGCAGTGGAGAAAGTACAGGTCTGATAACGCGCCTTTTTAATAGAAAGTAAGCGATCGATTCAACCTCTGCTGATGAATAGGAGAACGTCAAAAAGAGTGTTGTGAGCAGAAATTTCTACCGTGAGACATAGGAAGCGGAACACTTTTTCGCTTATCCTGATAAATTGTTTAATCAGAGATGCTCCAAAACTTGATCTACAGTTGAAAAATTTAATAGGCGAATCCAGTAGAAAATAAGCCATCGTTTCAGCCTCTGGTGCTGAATAGGGGAACTATCAGAAGAGTGATGAGGGCTGAAATTTTCGCCATGAAGCATAGGAAGAGGAAAATATTTTTACCTTTTCTGATTAATTTATCCATCGCAGGTGCTTGAAACCATCATCCATATGGAATATTTTGTTTTCTGTAACAATTTTGCAGTGATCTGGGTGGTGCTTCCATACATTTTTGTTAAGAAAAGTGAAGATTTATAAAACTGCCCCAGCGGTTATGATCTTCCGGATTTTTAATGTGGTGTTATTCGAGCTGTACATTTGTTCAAAAATAATAAAATAAGACCCCTCCCGATGGAAATATGCAAGATATGCATAAAAATATGCATTAATTTGAGATGTAAAAAATGTAGTTTTGATGGAAACAAACGGTTTGGTTGACGTGTCCTCTCATAATCATCTAGCGTCTCTTCATATGTGGTGCATAGAAACAGCCTATTCTATATCGGTTTTGTAGGATCCTGCTGATGTTCAAGAATATTTTTGTTGAGAAAAAATGAAAATTAGAATAGTGCCTTAGTGGTTAGGGATCGTCCATTAATTATGTCACACTTCTAGGGGGGGTGGAAACTGTGACGAGCCTTACAAAAAACAATTAAGGTTCATATAAAAAATGTGACAAAGGGGGGAAGGGGGGAGGTTGAAAATTGGCCAAATTTGCGTGACATAATTAATGGCCCTTCCCTTATGATCTTCTGGATTTCTTGTGTGTACATAGTTTGAGTGCAAATTAGTTCATATCAGTGGAAAATCATCCAATAAGACAATTACCGATAGTAATTGGCAAGATGTTGAATGAAAAATGTACTCTTCAAAATGAACTTTTTTCACGTTTTCTCTTTAATTAAAGGAACAATCATGTATATTCGTTGCTATGGGAGTTAGAAATAAGTTGTAATCATCAGTGGCAAAAGAAGAATTTCGACATTTTTCAACAACGCCTAAGTCCTAGGATCTTCAACTATGCGAGCTCCATCCATCATATAAATGCCCCCCACATAAAAAAATACTTGACATTGCCAGCTGTGACGTTCAAAGAAGAGAGATCGCATTAAATACTTGGATTCCCGATTAGTTTTGCATTTATATTAATTATGAAATCGTAGAAATGCGATTTGCCCCGTTTGGGCGTTTTATACACTCCTACCATAAGCAACCACTGTAGTACGGGACTAGCGATGTCTGTTTTCCTATTGTGGAACACGTCGTTTGCATGGCGCCGGGAGGCTTTTATAAATTCCGCTCAGCGCTGTCAAATATGGTAGAGCCCGGCGCCGATTATACGATCCAACAACCATTTCACAAGAATCAAAACTCCTTCTAACATAGAACAATTCTCTATAGCGATACCCATTGGAGTTCATTTTTGAACCATTCATTAGGTTGATTATTTCAAAGTTGAGCATTATATTCTATATTGCATACCTAAACAACAGTATATGTTCAATAGATGGAAGCAATAGGGAAGAAAATTTCCTTCTTTCGTTTACTCATAACGCAAGCCCATTAATGCTCAATGGATCCAGAGATTGAAGAAAACCAGGAGGTTTAACAAGTTCAGGTCCTTATTCGAATATTTAATCTTTGAATGCTTAGTAAGGAATGGAATTATAATTTTTTTAAGTTTTCTTCAAATAATGGGAACACTCCCTTTTAGATATATTTAATTAAGAAGGGAATACTCTTCCCTCGACCAACACAAATTTTTGATTTGCATTAATGGTAGTTTATTGTTTTCTACTTTAAAAGTACGCAATAACTCATATTTATATGAAAAATGCAACTTTGGATAGTAGCCAATATATGAGTAACATTTGATACCATTCTTTAGCACCGCTTGATAGCTACTAATCGTGTAGGAAAGCTCCGCATAATCGAGAAAAATCATTAAAAATAACTCGATTTTCGAAACGGCCGTTCAACGAAATGTTTCGCTTCGCGCTAAAACGGCCAATCATTCATTAATTTCATTTTATTGATAAGCCTAGTGACGTAGAAGGACCGATGATTGAAAATTTTCAAACCAAAGCTAGGCCCTACTGCTTGAGGCAGGGCCGATGATTTGTTTTGAATTTATTTGACGTTGCGAAAAGGCTTAGCAAAGGGCGTACCATTTCTGATGACAAGCACAATGGCTTGCAAAAGGGCCTATCCATTGAAAGATTCACAAAAAGGCTTATTAATTTCATGAAATTATCGATTTTCATATATTTTTGAAAGATTTTCGCATATTTTGGATGTTGTATACTGAGATACAGTTACCATTGATATTGTGAACAATATAAATGCCGGAAATACTTCAATTTTCTTGAATATGAATTGAATAGTGGCGCAAAAATTTAAAATTCATTTTCTGGTTTGTTTACATAGGCCCATTTCAAATGTTACTCTAGAAGTGTCATTCAAATCGGAAAGGCGGTCGAGATAAAACTGACATTGTTTGCGTTTTTGACAGGAAATGCTCTTCCGTATTAATAAGTTAATAAGCTAATTTAATGGGTTGAAAAAAGCAACGCTTATGGTAATATTTAAATTGTGAAAATTATCAAATTGTCTTTCAATCCTATATCGTCGACAATTTTGAAATTATAAATAAAAGAAGTGATATATAACTAGCCTAGTGATAAACTGCGTAATACAGACACGATTGGACAAGTAATTCTCTTGGGCGGTGGTTACATTCCATTGTTCCAAATGTTTCTTCGAGAGCGTGGTTCAAAGGTCTGGATGTAAGTCGGGTCTTCATTCGCGTGATGTCAAGACTTATGTCCAACCACTACTAGGTAGACGCATATTTCTACAGAATAAACCTTGTTGACTGCAATATATGTAGGTGTAGAACCGGTTATGATGACATCGACCACGCAGTTTGGTATTGCCCGGGTAATGCCCTCCAGAGCACAGCTGTTGGATACCCTAGTGGCCCGAGTTAGTAAGAGATGTATTTGGAAACCGTGATCTTCCCTACATGCAGGCGATCTACGAATTCCTTTGTTTGTTTGATGTTAGAGTCTGATGTGACCATCCCCTCCTTTCCAAACAACTTCCAGCCATTGTGTCCTCCTGTTTCTGTGCTACTTGCCTCTGCCCAGCCAGGATTTGGTCAACCGTCCGATAGTAGTATCTGAAGGAGGCGTCAGAAACCAGTTTCCTACCTAGCTCCTTTCAATCGAAATTGTTACCCATTAACCTCGAGCCCGCCACGAGTAATTGGTACCCAATACTAACCTAGAACTAGATACTGCTGTTAAAAATGTAAATACCAACATTACTGAATTTTTGCTCCGCAAAGCGTCACACATGACTGAGCCTAGTAAATAAACGAACTAATTAAAAAAAACTAGCCAAGTGATAAACTACGTAATACAGACACAAGCGCCAACATAGGGTGCGTGCGAGACACTTTTGCTCCCTCAATAATGTTTCGATATGTAAATAGCCGTTACTAGAAATATTCAGAGGGAGCGATGGGTGGAGAGAATGTTTTGAGCCAAATGAACTGTCAAAATCTGAGCCATGATTTGGCCGTCATTTGGCTAAAAACTTGCAACATCAACGAGTAACGTCCAGAAGAAAACTAAAACAGGTCACATCCGACAAACCAAAGGCTAGGATAGATGATAGAATGTTGTGTGAAAAATCATGAATCCTTCTAGCCGTCCGGAGACCCGGCCTATAAAAATCTGGCCAATGAGTATCTACAAAACGCTTTATATAAGCGAATTAAATCGACTTAATATGGCCAAAAAAACCAAAAAAGAGATTTAATTCATCCAATTTCAAGCGCATACTATAAAGAACATGTACATGCAAAATAATTAGGTTCCTTTAAATAAAAGGTGTTTTTATTTGAATACCAAGCTGCGTTGTTACTTTCTGGGACACCCTTTAAATTAATGAAAATTTTTGAAAGCAAAATTAATATTGCCATCATGCAAGCAAGAATTTCGGTTATACTATGGTCTTCAAGCCCAATCTAAGCCTCTTATTGATGAAACTAAAATTTCGACTTGGGCAGCTGCCATGAATGGGTTAGCTTGTCTGGCTCTGACATTCTAAGATATAATTAAACACGTCTAATGAAACAGAATTTTTCCCATCCAATATCATTTGGAAAATTACTTTCTACCCACGACCGCCGTCGACTGGTACAGTAATTAAAGGTAAATATATATTTTGGCACAACAGCTTAATTTGTTTTCTAGGGGGGATTATTAATCTTTCCAAACTGTAGTAAATAAAAATTGCGAAGTCGTCTCAAGCTTTATCAAAGATACCGTCGAAAACGTACACCAACCTAGCGTGGAGTAGATGCTGTGACGCAACGTTGTGCCAAAAGTGAAGCAAGACCAGCTCGGCGACGAAATGAACTTAATGCAAATCAAAGACCATCAATCAAATAATGGGCGGCGCCCAGCAGTTTCATGTTTATATAATTTTATATTTACCTCGTCGTCCTGCTGATATGCTTTGATCGGTTGTTTACTTATTTTAAAGCCTGATCATTTGTATCAGTTTATCAAATGCTAGGCTAAGCCTGTTATGGCACTAGTGCTCCAGTTTTTGGCCCTAGGGTCGAACTGAAAATTTAAATAAATTTGCATAGCTTTATTCACGTAGACATATGACAAAATCTATGTTCTAACCCTGCATGAATTTGGTAAACAAATAAAAAAATAAGAGTTGCCAAAAACTGGTTAAATTACCCTATAAGCAAACAAAATAATTAGTGTTGTGGATGGTTACGGCAACTGTAGAAACACATTATTATATCAATGAAATGCTTCAAAAACCTTGGAAAAATGCTGCTTTACTACGTAGCTACTCAGATTTACTGTCCTGCCGTGTCTTTTTTAGTCAGAGAAGTGGAGCGCGGGCAATCGTCTAGAAAAAGCTTCCAAAAGAACCTTCTTTTGAAAGCTTTTTTTAGAAACTTATTTTAGAAGCTTATCATAGATTAGAGCTCTGACTAAAAATACACGGGCAGCACAGTCAATCTGAGTAGCTACGCAGTTAAGGAGCATTTTTGCAAGGATTATGGAGCGTTTAATCGTATTAATGTTACAACAAACATTTTCCCCAGAAAACGCATTTATAAACATTGTTATCAACACCAGTAGAACCAACCCCGTATAAACAAACGAGTAAAATCAACTTAATTTCAGGCACTGGCACTCGAAATTGACGAGCAGTACAGTATGTGCACTGTTCGGCGGGATCAGCAGCGGCACGTGTTCACCATTTCGACGGTGATTGTTTTCGTATTTCCAATGTGTGTCCTGACGGTTCTGTACGTTCTGATCGGACTGCAGCTTCGTAGTTCGAAGGTGATGAAACGGGGGACCCAACTGGGGAGCAGCGTACGACTGAAGGTATGTATTGACCATCCGATACAGATGTACCAACTGAGGAGATTATTGGAAAACTGGAAGATACCGAGCAGAGAGACAGACAATTTGCTTCAAATATCAAATATTATGAATTGAGATAATGGCCAATCATCGAGGGATAAGATCCTAATCATCCAATTTGAGCGAATCCCCAATTACTAATTTTCTCTCTGTTGGGATTCTGAATATATCCCCTTTAAACTTATTTATTTCAGTTTACCACCGTCAGTTTGAAAGACGCCAAAAGGATATGATTCACCATACCGCGCTTTTAAAACGGAGGACGCCAAAAGCGAAAGTGAAAAATATCATCAACCGATAAGGACGACGCAGACGGTCACATGCATTAACGGCAAGCTTTCTGCTCTTCACCAGATAAAAAAAAAAACATAAAAAACAGGAAAACATTGTTCGAGCCATTATCGCTGGGATAAAACTTGATGGCAAGTTCAGTCTCTGCAAACACTCGATAGAAAAGGGTGATGACAAAAAACACAACAAAATATGGCACATATGAGAAACCCAAACGGTTTGAAAGGAGAAACGTGGACGCTCATTGGAATGAGGTGCAGAAATCAAAACACCTTAAAGCCACACATATTGGTGCCCGATTGAAAAATCCATTATTCGCCATTCACTGTTCTACCGTTTACGCAATTGAGCAGTTCTTTCTCTTCACTGACATAGGTACATAAAAATAAATAATTCATCCGGTTTCATTACATCGCACCGAAGACAGAAAGGACATGCTAGAATTTTTCCATTAGCCTTTAAAATGAACACACAGAACGTGACTTTTCATCGGCATCTTCCGGTTTTCCACGGCACACTATTAGGCCACATGTATTTGATTCCTATAACTGATTGTCTAGCTCTACATCCATTGCCTACTATTCTCGTATTCGTTCCATTCCACAGCATACTATTTTCAAGAAAAACTCCCACCGAACGATTGTCTCCATCAACTATCAAAACGATTCTCCGCAGCACTACAGTGAAAGCATACTCATGCAGCAGCAGCAGCAGCAGCCCCTTCAAGCTCAGCTCTCACTACCCGGGAGCATCGGTATCAGCAACGCCAACGTCGGCAGTCTGGGCAACGATGACGGCAAGGTTCCAATCGAACGCAGCATGGCCAACAATATCCATTTGTTGGTGGAGCAGACCAATTCGCTTTCCTCGGAAGATGGACGAATTAATTACTCTAACCGAGTGCAATACCACAGCACCAGACATGTAGTCAAAATGCTGGGTAAGTTTGATTAAAGTTTTAGTTTGAGTTTACAAACGGGTGGGTCTTTGTGATGATTAACCGATCTAGGTATTTGTTCTAATAAACAGTTGATCTTACACAGTTCTTGTATATTTTTAAGTGCCCATTTCGAAAAGTTAAGACTAGCCCTGTTATTTATATGGTTGCTGGGTACCTGGGTTGCTATTGGCTATATGATAACAGATAAAAATTATGAATTTTAATTGTGATGTAAACATTCATTCACGTAAACTTGTATTTCATTTCACGCAACCGAGCAACTTGTAAACAATGTTGTTTACAAATATGGGCTTTTGTATACAATATTTGCTACATTGCAAGAAATATATCAGAGCTTTACATGATATATAATGTAAACTTATATGATATGTGACGCTCCATTTAAGTGCATCATATTGAACAGAAATTTACACTACTTTTTCGAACTTAACAAATCGCTGTCAAACTCATTTTGACTGCATTCAAAGTGTTTTATGTTACTTCATACGCGAAGTTAGCGATTTTCAGAGTTGGTTGGAAATGCTATCTAACATGAAGCTTTAGTGTGCTAATTTATTAGCTAGATAATGGTCTTAGAAGAGGGTAGGTAGATAGTTCCGTTAGAGTACGGCAGTATGAAAATTGAATAGAAGTTGAAAATGAGCGAAGGGCCATCAATTCGACAGTACAAAGTCAAACGCACACTTTTTGCCTAACCCGTACGATATACGCGGAGATTTGAAGTATGTCTTCAAATCTACAGGCAAAACGCGTGCGCCCGTCTTTGCTCATTACTGGCTGCGGCTGTGGAATAGTTCTCAGGTAGTGATGAAAAGTCGATAGTGATAGAGATTAAGTAGTGATGAAATGGAAAATTCTTAAGAGGATTTATAAGCATTATGAGGGAATTTTAAAAAGATTCCGGAAGTATTTGGCAGGACATTTTGAGAATATTTTGAAAGAATATCTGTGTTGCGGTCTAAACTGCAGGGTAAAGAGCGCAGTTCTTTCTTTTTTGCAATACGGTGAGTGGATGAAATCGATATTAATACCAACATATAAGTAAGAAGTACCTACCTCGAAATAAACCCAAAACAATCAACATAATTTGTCAAGCGTGCAGGTTTCTTCAGCTGAAATGAGTTAAACCTTATGAATTGAAGCGTAATTTCTATGATATTTTATCAATTGGTTGATAATTCTGACAAGTTATAGAGGTTAGGTGTATAAGAGTTGTAGAGGTTAGGTATATAAGAAATATTTTTAAGTTCCAATCAAATTCCCGGTTAAAGGGTGATACGGTCAAAATTTGGTCAATATCAACTTGACGTATTTCTTTCAATTTTGCATTTAAAAAAACCTGAACACCCCTCATTTTGAAGGTGTGTGTGTGTAGAATGTTGCTCCTATTTTGATTTTGGAATTCACTCTTCAGTTGTCAAAATGCCGTCCAAGCAAGAAGAGCAGCGTATCAAAATTTTGCTCGCGCATCGCGAAAATCCGAGCTACTCGCACGCAAAGTTGGCAAAATCGCTAAAAGTTGCCAAATCAACCGTTACAAATGTAATTAAAGTGTTTGGGGAACGTTTGTCGACAGCCAGGAAGTCTGGATCGGAGGGAAATCGAAAACCGGAAGCCGCTGAGACGACAAAGAGAGTTGCCGGTAGTTTCAAGCGAAACCCTAACCTCTCTCTCCGAGATGCCGCAAATAAGCTGGGTGTATCGTCTACAACCGTGCATCGAGCCAAAAAACGAGCCGGACTATCGACTTACAAGAAGGTAGTGACTCCAAATCGCGATGATAAACAAAATACGACGGCCAAAGCGCGATCCCGGAGGCTGTACACGACGATGCTGACGAAGTTTGACTGCGTGGTAATGGACGACGAAACCTACGTCAAAGCCGACTACAAGCAGCTTCCGGGACAGGAGTTTTATACGGCAAAAGGAAGGGGAAAGGTAGCAGATGTTTTCAAGCACATGAAACTGTCAAAGTTCGCAAAGAAATATCTGGTTTGGCAAGCCATCTGTACCTGTGGCTTGAAAAGCAGCATTTTCATAGCTTCCGGGACTGTCAACCAAGAAATTTACGTGAAAGAGTGTTTGAATAAACGTCTGCTGCCTTTCCTGAAGAAACACGGTTGTTCCGTACTGTTTTGGCCGGATTTGGCATCTTGCCATTACGGTAAAAAGGCCATGGAGTGGTACGCCGCCAACAACGTGCAGGTGGTTCCCAAGGACAAGAACCCTCCCAACACGCCGAGCTCCGCCCAATTGAGAAATACTGGGCTATTGTCAAGCGGAACCTAAAGAAGACCAAAAAAACTGCTAAGGGCGAGCAGCAGTTCAAGGCAAACTGGCTTTCTGCGGCGAAGAAGGTGGACAAGGTGGCTGTACAAAATCTGATGGCAGGGGTCAAGCGTAAGGCCCGGCAATTCGGATTTGGAAAAGCGGAAGCCTAACTGAATATTTTTCCTGAATTTTATACTAATTGAACTTGAAAAAGAAATTTAATTTGATTTTTTAAATAAACGATTTCACCGATTTACACGCGTTTTCCCTTGACCAAATTTTGACCGTATCACCCTTTATTTCCCGGTAATCCTCAGATCTCCCGGTTTTCTTGGATCAGCGGCCGCCCTGATAAATGCATGTTTGTTCTGCTGAAACGAGTTATTCATCTATAAATCCCATGGAATATTAATCAAGGTTGCTAATTAGAAATGTTAGAAATTGGGGCCTCCCTTAGCTCAGTCGGTAAAGCCGCAGCAACAAAGTAAGACCATGCTGGAGGTGGCTGGGTTCAATTCCCGGTCCGGTCTAGGAATTTTTCGGGTTGAAAAATTTCTCGACTTTCCAGGGCATATAGGATGATTGAACTTGCCACACGACAATAGTAATGTGAGGAGGTAACAAAAAGTGTGTTGGTGAGTTCTTTGGCGTGAATGTTCCCGAAAAGTTCAGTAATTTTCTATAAGCAAATGCAAAACAAACACATTTATTGACAGATTTGGGCAAATTTTGACCTGTTTCATGCTAATGGAAGGTATACTGGTCACAAATGCCGTGTCAAACTGATTTCCTGCGCAAGTGATATGTATAAACGCGAATAACAACGAGGTCCAGTGATTATATCAAAGCTTGCCATAAAGAAACAATCACAGTTCAGGGCCACCATAACTTTCTACAAAAGAGTTGAGTTATGAAATTCACTTAATTCCAAAATAATATCCGAAACAACAAACTAGAAAATCGAACAAAAATTTCGTAGTCCTACGTTAACATTGCGGTCATGTCCTGTACACCACCATCCAACTTTTTTTTACTCTCAAAAAGTCAACAAACTATAACTTTGAAAAATGATCATCACATTTTCTGAAGTTGTGGCATATTACATCAACTATTCAATATTAATCGGTATCGTTTTGAGGCTTGAGTGAGTTGAGTGAAATTATGAGGAGGCCTGCAAGGAAATTTGGATAATAATTCTAAAGGAATCCAATTCTTTAGAAATACACAAGTTTGACGATAGTTTCGGGAAAATTCTCAAGAGGATCTATAAGCATTATGAGGGAATTTTAAGAAGTTTCCGGAAGTATTTCCAGGACATTTTGAGCACATTTTGTGTTGTGGTCTAAACTGCAGGGCAAACAACGCAGTTCTTTCTTTTGACGTAGACTACGTCTCACGGGAAAGCACTGGGGGTAAATCGAAAATTTAAAATTGCAACCGTCACGAAAAGGTGTAAGGTTTCGAACGCTTATAACTTTGCCATTTATAGATGAAATTAAAATCTGAATTAATCTGATACAATAAACGCTTTCTCAATTTTTCATAAATAACTGCAGCAGCAGCAGTAGGAAGGCACCAGTTCCTGTCATGCGCGCAGCGTTCGAGTTTTCCACCTCGAACCTTGCGCGTTGTTCGCGTCGAGATCAATGGCTGCAGGCAGCGCCGTTGCCTTGATGGCGCAAGCGCTCCGAAGTGAATCAACCTCCTTGTCTGAGTGCTAACGGTCCCGCGTTCTACAAATCTCGATTACTTTTTTGAAAGGACATATTAGCTTTTAAACAATGCATTTTATTGTCGGTTTGGCGTAACTGATAGCTCGCCTACGCATACTAACACACTATATCAGGTAGGGAAAATTTCCCCCTATCTTATGGTAGTGTTAGCATGCGTGGGTTAGCTACCAGTTACGCTAAATCGACGATCAAATGCGTGTAACAAAGGTGATGAATGTAATCGAGTTAAATTTAACTCGGCAATTGGGTCACAGCCTTGGAAGTAAAATAACGCACCATCCATAAATGCCGTAATTTTTGTTTTGCTAATTAACCCCCCTTCCCCCTCGTAGCGTTTTTTGATATACTTTGGCCGGTCACAACTTCTGAAACCCCTTAACTACAACGTTATTTATGAAAGTTGCCTAAGCATTGGGCAACAGTGAAATCAGTGCCATGTCTCAAAAAAGTTCATATTTTAATATTCAGGTAGGGCTTCCTCAGAATGCTATAAAAAAGCACACAAAAACGGGTTTGACATTTATGCGAAATTTCGGTATTGATCGTAAATATCTCGCGATCAGAACATTTTAGCTTGAAATCCCTCCAATTAGTTCTCGGTACATCTTTTATCTACCGATTGAATTGAAAAAATACTAAATATTGTTGTTTTTTTTTTAAGATTTCCTGCGTTTTAAGAACGAACATCCATTATTTTGCATAAGAAAACGGGGTGTTTCTGTGGTGGAAAAAAAAGGATTTCCCTACACAGATTACAGATTTCTGTCCCAAGTTCTGAAATTATCAGACTTTACCTCTATTTATGCTTTTAGATTAGCTATGTAAGTCCATCCTACTTGGAAAATAATGCTATAGAACAGTTAATAAAATCCTGGATTTTTTGCTGATGGGGGCGAAGCATAGCAAGCCGTTCGATTGCATAATTCTCCAAGTAGGAGGGATGTACAATGCTATTCTCTTAGCATAAATAGAGGAACCGTCGACTTTTTTGCAGTGCTAGATACTGAAATTCGACATTGAGCGTTGAAAAGTGCCTACTTGCAATGATCGATTATCTTCAACGATTTTCTCTTTACATTGTTAAGGACCACCCACATCAGATCCGTTCGCGTTGCGTTGACGTAAATTTGACAGTTAGACAATAGATTTAGCTATCACTTTGCCGCAACGCGTCCGATCCGGATCTAATGTGCGTGGGCCTTTATAGCTAAGCGAAACAATTCAAGCTGAACATTGCATTATGTCCTAAGTAACTTTGACTGATTCTCTTCGTCGACTTGTATCCCCTCGGCTATGTAAAGACATTCCCAGGTATTATCAGCCAGGGAGCCTCGTAGCCTAGTCAGTAAAATCACGGTATTACCAAGCCGGAGGCGGTGGGTTCGATTCCCGGTCCGGTCGAGGGAATCTTTCGGGTTGGAAATTTTCTCGACTCCCCTGGGCATAGAGTATCAAAGCTCTAAATTAATAACTGTGGAAGTGCATTTAGAACACTAAGTTAAGAGCACGCAATAAGCTAATATCCACTAAGAAATAAGCTTGAAATGCGAATAAGAAGAAGAAGAAGGTATTTTCAGCACACAGATCGATAAAAGAAGCTTTTATCTAGCATCTTATATGACAAACACAACAGGAAACGGTTATGTGCTCAAGTTATTAACGAAAGAGAAAGTCGACGAAAAGAATCGATCAATGTTATACTTAGGGCCTACTGCAATGTTCAGCTTGAATATTATCTGTAATGCTGTAATGCTGTAATTCTGTAACCTGTAACAGGTTGTTTTGGCTATCAAAAGTAACAGCAAACGCACCGAGATGTGTTAATCCAAGTCAATTATTAACAAAAGAGAGAATCGGCCATCGCGGTTACGCCCTTATGCATGCTCACTGTCGAATTTATAATCTGTGATAGATATGAAAGTCACTTTTTTCCCACCACAGAAACGCTCCGTGTTCTTCTGCCAAATGATGCGTTTAAAAAACGTAACAAAAAATAGCAATCGGTAAATAAAAGATGTACCGAGAAGGGATTTATGGCTAATCGAGATATTCCCGATCAACTATGAAATGTTGCATAACATTGGTGCAAAATTGTGCACTTCGTTTTTGGGTGTGCATTTTTTTTAGTGATTTGAAGTTGAATCGCTGTGGAAACCTTATTTTTGATCAATCTCAGTACCACATAAAAAAATCAAGAGCACAAATATCTGCTCTCACAAAACTTATAACAAAGAAACTGGAACTTCACGTTTGCTGCAGTGCAGTACACAAGAAGTTTCAATTTCATCAGTGATGTCACAACCGTCCAAGATTTGTGCCCTAGAAATCTTGAAGTTATGGGGAAAATCAGCCACGGTCATTGTTGGACCCTTCAATGAATCACCGGAAGAAAGCCTTACTCATATCTGTTTATAATTTCGGAACCAAATGTAATAGGATATGTATTCGCATTTTTATGAGGTCCTGAATTTAAGCAAGTTTGGCTAAGTAGGAAATCCAAAATATGTACCTAGTACCGAAACCATAGATTACTTCTACTGTATTTTAAATCAATATCTAGATAAATGCACGAGAATTTCACTACATCGCTTAACGTAGTCTGCGTCAACCAAGCGGTCATATCTTGTACACAACCCCACATTTTTTTTTTGCAATACGGTAAATGGAGGAAATCGATGTAAATGCCAAAATATAAATAAGAAGTACCTACCTCGAAAAAAACCAAAACAATCGAAATAAATTGCCAAGCATGTAGGTTTCTTCAGCTGAAATTAGTTATCGAAATTTCTAGGACATTTTATCAGTTTGTTGATAATTCTGACAAGTTATCGGTATAGAAGAGAGTTAAAATGAATTTGTTCAATATTCCTAACTAAAACTAATGAAAATCTTAAAAACTAAATGTGACCAAGTCGTAGAGGTTAGGTGTATAAGAAATATTTTAAGGTTCCAATCAAATTCCCGGTTATTTCCCTTCTTGTTCTCCTTGTTTTTTTCTGGATCAGCGGCCACCCTGATAAATGCATGTTTGTTCTGCTGAAACGAGTTATTCATCTATCAAGTCCATGGAATATTAATCAAGGTTGCTAATTAGAATCGAGTACCTTTGTCAAATGCATATGTATTTTTAAAAATTTATTAAATAAATCTCACGAAAAATCAAAACTTTTTAAGTGTTTAAAATCATGGACACTTTAGAATTGACAAAAAAATTGTTGGAATTCAACATTTGATCACAAGGTCGTAGCCAGGTTTCGAGCCAGAAAGGGGCGAAAAAATTACTATGGAAAATTTGGCCAAATACCATTTCACCGAACGTCATTTCACCGAAAGCCTTTGTGTTGCTGAGTTATGCCTACGCCTATGTTTGATCATATCTTTAAGCTTCTTGTAAACAAGCTTTTTTATGTAATTTTTGCATTTTGTCCATGTTTGTAAATATTCTAAAAGTATGTATTTTTATTAGATTTTTTTTAAATATTAAAATTGTAGATACTTTTTTAACAATACTTGAGTTTTTAATTTTTTTTTTCAATTTTTACTCAAAACTACTAACAAAAAATACCTTGCATATTTTTTTCCAAAAAGACTTTATTTTTCTCTACAACTATATTCCTAACGTCATTTCGATAAGATTTGGCGTTTTCGTAAAACAATTTATTTAAAAATGACAGACATCAGGCCGAATTATTGTGAAAATGAGAATAATTGCCCATAACACACAATTATGCAAAGTTTTAAACATATCGGATGGGGGTCGAGTTTTTCCGATTCGTCATTTGCCGTGGAACTGATCCCTTGTTATAATACTATGCTGCATTACTTTACTTCCAGTGGCCGTAGTGATAGCGTTCTTCCTCTGCTGGGCACCATTCCACGCCCAGAGACTGTTTGCGGTGTATGGAGGCGACCAAAATAACGATGAAGCAATACGACGGGCTTTCGAAATAGTCACTCACATCTCGGGAATTCTTTATTTTGTGTCGACATGTATCAATCCCGTCCTGTACAACATTATGAGCCACAAGTTCCGAGAGGCCTTCAAGGTGAGTAAGTATCCATTTTCCAATTCTGTTAGCCCTTATAATATTTACCGTTGGCCACCATTTGATTTTTTTTTAATCTATTGTTATTGGCGGCTACTTTATACACTCAAAAACTGAATCATAGTCTAAATTGAATTTCTATCGAATGCATGCGTGAATATTTTTTTCCTACGAGATACGCAATTGGCTGCAGTCAAAATCTATTATATGTGTCTTTCTTTTCTTTTTCCCGGTACGGTAACGGTGTAGGACACTTTAGCGAATTATTTAAACCGCCGTTCTGGCCATCCACTAAGACAGCGTATGTTTTTTAGGAATGTCTCATTGCACTCAAGTTCCATTAACTCGCACTCGATGAACACGTGCTCGTCCGTTTGCTGTACCAGCTATCCATTGCAACAGAGTAGTGCGGTAAATGAGACAACCACAATTACTGCTGCAGCAATAACCGAAGCTTGCTCGAACCAAAATCAGATCCGTTACCGGGAGACCGATCTGGCATGCCTGAAACGTCCCCTAGTTGTATCGTTCCGGAAAATCCCAACAACCACCAACAGTACGACAAATTCTTCGTTTGAGCAAATGCAACGCCAAAATGGCATTAATGGGTACAACATCCGGCGACAATTTTTCCACCCGAATGAGCTACACACCACAAAACTATCAACTACTGATACTGATTTAGAGCCATATCGCAAATATTGTTGCCTACATGAGCCATCGTCCAACCACACGCAAACGCATCGAAGCAAAAAGACATCCGAAAACGAACCAGATAAAGTGGAATTCAACAATGCGAACCCTTCGAGCTGGGCTCGAAATGGAAATAACTTCTCCGTGACACGCTCTACTAAGCATAGTTGGTTTCCTATAAAATATTTCACCAAAGACACACGCTCCAAACACTCCTCTATGGAAAATGTAAGCACAACTGATGAGTACTGTCACGAATGCAGTAGGCTATCTCAACCATCGAGGAGAGAACTGATCAACGATCACACTCCTAATCAACTGTATTGCCAGTATGATCTATATCCACACTTGCGAAACATATATCTCTCACTGAATTCAGATTTGAACGAACCGATGGATCATAATGAAAGTACAGATGGCGTAACTCGTCATAAGCTTTCGCCCGATTGCTACAGCAAAAAGAGCATCAACTCAAAGCTTTCCGTGCAGTGGAATATGTTCGATGAAAAGTTTAACACCAGACCAACAACGAGCGAAAGCTTCACCAGCGATGATGATAGACGTAATTGGCAAGAAGGAAAACGTAGAAAAGCTCAGCGACTGAGTCGTTCAAGAGAGGCTTATCCCTCCGTTGCCCATTTCCAGCGGAAGTTCGAAGCTACTATGAAAAATTCTCACAGTCTACCGTCGGTTTTTGAACTAGACAATAAGCGCAGCTCAGTAGGTGGTGTTACAGAAGATCTGGAAATCTTGAATTTTATTTCCCACATTATCTAAATCGGAATTGAACGCGATGGTTTCGTTTAGTGACCATGTGCTATGCACATAATACATTTACAACAGCAGAATAACCACTCAAAAATGGAAAAAAGAATTGAAAGCGAATCTATAAATAACTATGTGATGAAATCGAAACGGAATGATATAGAACCAGAAAATCGTAATCGGTGCGACTGTTGGAAAGGAAAATTGATTTTTAAAGAGCGAGTGTGTTTGAAGGTACAAAGATTGAACGATTTCTAAGAATGGTTGCTACCGCTGGCTAATCTTAGGATTTATTATAGAGCAGAGAAGTTTATAACTTGGCAAAAAAATAAAATACGTTAGAAAATAAATGATCTACTGCAAAGGACAATAAAATATGTTATTGTTATAAGGCCGTGAAAAACAGTAAAAAGAACCGAAAGATCTATTAAGCGTCTAAAGTCATTTCCATTCAAATCCAACATCTTAAAAGCTTAGCATGGCCAGATTAGCGTTGTTTTTACGACTGTTTTTTTACGATCCTATTTACCCCAGTGTATCTTATTTTAACGCAACCTCATTCCATTTATCAAATGTCATTCTTTCCATTCTTCCGAAGAAATCTATACTTTTAAGGTGGTGAAGATTTCCAAATATTTTAAATACGTGTTATTAAAGGAAACAACTAAAATGAGGTCTCTCTTAGAGATAAAAGAATTAGAGTTTCCTTTAAATTCTACTTAATATCGTCTACGATATGCGTATATCATCTCGATCATAAGTGATGTGTTGTGATAACGGGTGGATCGAGCAAAAGGTAGTCACATAAAATTCAGTGTTGTAAAACAATGTTAATAAATTAATGATCTGCTTTATGATTTCTGGCAGCTTACTCTCTTATGGAGCCCTGATCTTGATAAGTTTACTATATTTTTTGCCAAATACAGTTTCACGGACTTTGGTTGACCCTTTACATTAGGTTTTGCGTAGCCTTATTGTATTTTCAAATGAAATCATTTGACAATGTACGCCATTTTATAATTAATGCAAAATTCCTAAACCAAAACTGACAAGAGATGTTAGACACACACCTTCTAAAAACAATGTTTTTATTTTGTTTTTAGTGCACGCTAAACAGAAATGCACTGAATTTTAATTGACTACATTTTGCTCGTTCCACCCTTTATGAGGGAACAAAGCTGTCTTAATCAGTCGTTAATGCTTACTGAGCGAGAAAATTGGGGGATCAATCCCAGGCCCCTTTATATTAAGTAGTTTTAGTGTCATATTGCTCATCGTTGCTCATCGTGTATTTTGTGAAACTTGGCGTCATCGTCGGTGCCGGGTTTGAATGGTTACAACAACAACTCGATCATAAGTGGTGTGATTTTATATGTTATTCTGAGCAGAACATCATAGGCTTAACATCTAGCCACTTCACATTCAAGATTCATTAGTTGCATTAATTCTTAATAATCACACATCACTTTAATTTAGCGTACCATTTGCCAAAACGAGCTGCTGCAAGCCCAACCCTTTTATTCAACATCCTATTGATGTATCGAGGCATTACATAGGATTTCTCGGGCATCACGTCAACAAATTCCAACCCATTCCTTAATTGATCTGTTTTCGGACGGGCCAGAACTCAGAACGAAGCTTTATTGTAGCTATAGGACAAATCTAGATAGAGTTGGAATTAAGGCGTAACAGCTTTTGTAAACAATGAATTTTCTCGATGATTTCCCGAAAGTCATGACTCTCCCCAGGCATGGAAAATCATTTGCATTCATTTACATTCATTTGCCTCTAACTTTTTTCATCAACAGCATTCCGCAAAATGATGTATAGAGCTTTTGTAGGTTTTGTTATTAACTACAACTTTTTTTCATAACTGTATCTCTTATGCATCACGAACTAGAGCATGCAGAACTTGTTACTGTTTTTGAGTGAATGTAAAATACATTCACTGAAAAACAGTAGTGGCTTCTGTTCGCTCTGGTTCGTCATGCATAAGAGTTACGAATTTAACAAAAGTTGTAGCTAATAACAAAACCTACATAAGCTCCATATATCATTTCGCGGAATGCTGTTCAAGAAAAAAGTTAGAGGCAAATGAATGTAAATGAATGCACGAAATTAATGCAGATGATTTTCCATACCATGACATCACCATCGAGTAGAGGAAGACTTCCCCTATCCGATGGATATTTTGGTTTGTGTAGGCGTACCTTGAGTTCATAGAAATCAACGAGAGAATTCATTGTTTACAAAAGCTGTTGCACCCTAATTCCAGATCCATCTATCTTTTTAATATGTTAAAGTAACTTAAATAAGAAAAACAAAAAGATTCCTTAAATCCAATTCTCCAATGCTTCACAGTTGAAAAAAATGCAACGATGAGACTTTCTACTTGATATTTCCAATCAGACTGAATGTATTCGATGAACGATTCAAACTGCGATAAACATATGAATTTCATTTAAATACTTAGAAAATTGCCAAAAGGAAATTAATTGCCATTGTTATTGTATCGCTTGTAATTGCTCAGCACAAATAAATGTGATCAACGGTCAGTTCCAAGTCCTATTCAATTGCAGCCCAGTACTGCTTCTAATGAACCCATCGATATTTCTCAATCAGGTTTGGAAAAAAAAGAATATTCTCACCTGGCCAGACCATCGTAATTCGTTACATAGATTAGGTTGCATAAGTTGAGTTTAAATAATAAAATAAAAATAATTTTAGACACACCTTTTAACTAAAAAAAAAATCAGAGTGAACAAAAATAAAATTAACCAAATGAAATGTGAAAAACAAAAAGTAAAATATCCTCAATATTTCATTCCAACAGTCTTCCCGAAAGCAGTGTTGTGTACCTGAAGATGTGAAAGTGAGCGACTTTAACTGAACACAACGAATTGAATTGATGTTAATCAGAAGACAAAATTGCAGTGTTGAATATTGTGATTTCGGCAATAAATAAATCCAATGATACGGTCAATATAGAAACTTTAATACATACATTTTTTTAAGCTTATCACATTTACGTACTATGTTAGATTAAATGGTAACGGTAATGAAAAATTCGATAGATCTATGCACAGCCATTTCACTTGAATTTTACGGTTTTCGTCAATTGTTTGCACACACACAAAAATGCTTTTCCTACCTACTATATCAACGCGCCAATCTGATTTAATTCCGCTCTACTCTTAACAAATTTGCTAGCTTCAATGTGAAGTACGACAAAGCTTATAATCTGTTAATTGTTACACTCAAATCCTTCTTCGGGGAAGCTCCACCTCCACATATGTAGCGGCTTACACTAGACACGTTTAACCGATGTCATTTGTGACTGAATGATTGATAGATGGTAACAGCTAACTCCTGCGTCTAGGTAATCAGTCCAGCGTAACTGAGTTTATGGTCTGCTGCCATCTCAAAATAGTATCCTAGATTAACGACAGAAAAGTTGGCGGCACATCTAAAACATTTTGTAAGAATCTTCTCCAACATTGATTATTCCACCTAACATCTGCTTGTGAGCCGACGGGAGAAAGCGAAAATTTCCTTCCCACACTTGAATTCATATTTGGAAACCCATTTGACCCTGCTGGCCTTTTACACTTTTACTCCGGTAAATTGCCGGAAAAAATACAACTTCGCCTGTACAGTGTGTTTACCGCCCTACCGAGGAACTGTCTTTTGCACATCTCAGGGGACGGACCCGCTTTGATTCTCCCTCAATTTTATCTCTTTCATATATGCCTCGAGGTCATCTTCTTGGCCTTCCGAAACCGGCATGCTGAAACCTATCGGATACGCATTTGCTGTTGGTGAAGTTTTCGATTTATGATTATCCTCCGCACTTTCCTTTTGACTGCATAATACGGAGCTGTAAAAATGAACTGCCGTTGGGTGTCGACTAGAATGATGCTGTTTACCCTTCAACGGCGACATGCGGTGCAGACAACTCCAAAGCTTTAAACGGTTATCCTGGTGGCGTTTTTTACGTTTAATACATATTTTTATATCCCCCTGCTGGCTGCAGATTAGATCGAGATTGGTGACATCATTCGGTAGTCGCCGATTGGAATGATTGAGATTTTCATCAAGCGAATGAGCCGCGAAAGTTGTTCCTGGCATGGTTGGCTCAGACGCCGAGGATGGCGGTATTAACGTTGGGCACATGTGAGGTCGATGGAGGCTGTGCTGGTGCGTCTCGTCCGAGGATAATCGATTCAATTGTATGCTAATGCGAGACAAATTTTCCGTCGGCTGGGACAACGAATCATTGGCAGGATAAATGTTGAGACACAGCTCCTGCTCCTGGGTGTACAGATTCAAATGAGCAGACGAGGCCATCATCACTTTTGAAGTGAACATCTGGGGGCGATCAAATGTTTCGCAATCCGCCGAACGCTCGTGGTTGAAACGCTTCACAGAGTGGCCTCGCGACAGCGCTACGGAATCGATTGACTGTTTTTGAGTAGAGGATGAGTATATGCTGTCATCTTTGATGGAATTGCCTGAAAAAGTAGGGAACTTGAAATTAAAACTCTTCGATCATAGGAAAGTTACTAGACATTTAATTAAATCTAGAATTCAGAATCATAAGGGCCGAACTGCAATGATCGAGTATCTTCATCGATTTTCTGTTTTGTTAATAACTCGGCTGGATAAACATTTATTGGTGCGTTTACTGTAGCTATTACTAGCTAATACAACCTTCTACATTGTACTATATTGGAAACAATTCGGCAGATTGCGCCACTTAATTGTATTAATATAAAGGGAAAATCGACCATGAATGCTAGAAACAATTGCTAGGTTTAAAGGAAATTATCTCAAAATTCAAGGAAAGCAATGTGTGCATAATTTTTTTGCTAAGCCTGTTTCATCTCTGGTACATAATTTACTTGTTTATACAGTTTTAGTCAGTAGAATAGTTTCACATAAATGAACACTTTGACAATCTGAAGCCAGTTCCAGCAGGTTCCAGCAATCGAGCTGCGATGAGGCGTGAGATTAAAAAAGAAATTCCGTTGTGCTACAAGCAGCAACAGCAAATCAAAAAAAAATCATTCGATAGAAAAAGCTTCCAGTCCACAGTAGTCCAGTAGCCCTATTAAGGTGGAATAAATTGTTTGTGCCTAAATAATTGCTTCTAGGTATATAGAGTCTCAAGGAAATTTTTTTTCATTTACTTTAGTCATTCTTATTATGTTTAAGACATTAGGGTGGTCCTTACGGTTGATGAGTTCTAAATATTAACTTTTTAGTTAATTGATATAGATCGGCATAATGCTCAACTAAGTTGTAGAACAAGTTATTTTAAAAAGCTTTGCTCAAGAAAGAAAATTTCTATCTCTAATAAAATATATATTACAATATCTCCGAATATGTTTTATTAGGGATTGATCAAACAACGGGTCAAATAATGGGGCTTTGTTTGCCTAGAAACTTCGGACTGTCTTCGGAGAATATTATATACAAAATATGATAGGTTTGGGAAATAATTCCACACGATGACGATTTTCACCGTTTGTAAATTTTAAGCATACTTTTTACGAGAAATCAATGTATAAAAAGTTACTGTTTAATAACCGATTTTTCATGGGCCGTCCTAAGTTGCTTAGAGAGATATAAAATTGCTTCCTTCGCTTCCTTCAGCAAAGTTGTTTCAAATAACTTGTTCTAGAACTTTGTCAAAAATTATGCCGGTTTATCTCGATTAAAAGAAAATATTTTGAACTCATGGACCGTAAGGACCACCCACAATAGATCAGATTAATGGTCGCAGTGGTTCAAATCCCAACAAAAAAAAGGACCACCCTAATGTTTTGAACATAAAAAGATTGACTAAAATAAATTAAATCTTTTTTGATGACACTATATACCTAAAAGTAATGATTTACGCATAAACCGTTTAAAGACAGGAACGCTCAAAAATTGGTCGACAAAAAATCGTTTTTTTTCAGTCAAAATTCATATCACACAAATGTTCTTATTTTTCTTTTGGTAGTTCAATTCATATATTTAAAGGAAAAAATGTTCGTTTATTCTTTCGGTTTGCCAAATCCGAAATGCCGTGCCTTCCGCTTAAACCCTTCAAATAAATTTTGCACAGTGGTCTCATCGACCTTATTCGCCGCCGAACGCCAGTTAAATTTAAACTGCTGCTCGTTTTCCGTGGATTTATTAGTTTTTTTTTTTTTTTTGAGGTTCCGTTTGACCAAGGCCCAATACCGTTCGATAGGGCGGAGTTCTGGGCTGTTGGGGGGGGTTGTGGACTTTGAGTACCACAACCACGTTGTTCGCATCGTACCACTCGATTGCCTTTTTAGCACAGGTCTATTATGTTGCTTTAGGAATGGTAGCAGCCGCTTTTCCAGGCACTCCTGGACGTAGATCTCTTGATTGATGGTTCCCGTAGTAATGAAAATGCTGCTTTATAGACCACACGTGCATATGGCCTGCCAGACGAGATATTTTTGTCAGGAACTTCGATCGTTTGATGTTTTGACAATTTCAGCCACCTTCCCTTTTCCTGATGCGGTATAAAACTGCTGTCCCGGAGGCTGCTTGAAATCCGCCTTAATATAAGTTTCGTCGTCCATGACGACACAGTCGAACTTTGTGAGCAGATTCGTATACAGCTTTCGGGACCGCTGCTTTGCCGACGTGTTTTGTTTGTAATCTCGGTTCGCCAGCTTCACTTTCTTAAACGTCGACAACCCGGCTCGTTTCTTGGCCCGCTGCACAGTAGTATGGGATACATTGAGCTTGCCAGCGGCGTCCCGGATGGAGAGGTTAGGATTCCGCTTATATTTCACCGCCACCTTCTTCGTCGTCGCTGCCACGTCCGGATTACGATTGCTGCCGCTTTCAAGCTTCCTGGTGGTCGATAGATGCTCCCCGAACACTTTTACAACGTTTGTCACGGTCATCCAGCAATTTTGCCAACTTGGCGTGTGAAAACGTCGGATTCTCTTGCTGCGCGAGCAAAATTTTGACACGCTGCTCCTCCTGCTTGAACGTAATTTTGAAAACTGGAGATCAAACGGTGAAAACTCATCATAGCAAGCATTGTATATACACTCAACTTCCAAATGCAGCATTTCAGTTTTTTTTAATGCATTTTTAACAGAAATACACCAATTTGAAGTTGACCAATTTTTGCGCGTTCCAGACTTTATTCCATCTAAATACGGTTTTTGGACTATAGTGCAGTTGGTAGCCAGCATTCAGGAGCTCGTATTTCGAAAACAAATCACTTCATATAACAAACCGTAAAGCAGCGCTGCCGTGGGTCGGACGTGGATCTTAGCAATGATATCATACTATTCTATTATTATGAATTTTAACCCAAAATGAACGATAAATAAACGGATTGTAGCTTTAAACATGTTAATCAAACATAGATAAAGCCATTTAAAAAATCAAGTTTAGATTATTATTATTATTTAACTTTATTAGGGAGGCAATCAAGTTTAGATAGCTTGGGCAGCACAGTGTGAAAAAAAAAATGGACAATAATATGAAAATCGGTTACATTACTTTAATTATTTATTATTTTGTACCAACTATGAAGTGAATAGACTTGAAAATATCAATGAACATTTTTAGAAGGCTTTCCTGCGAAATTACCGAATAGTTGTTTTTAAGTTGTTGTGCTCAAATAATACATTGAATCGGCATAGTATCTTCAAAGAACTTTAAAAGAACGCTATAATTGTCAATTTGTAAATACAATTCGACCCGTTATACTTTTAAATTTTGTATAAGAATGGTTTTGTTTCAAAAACCTTAATTTTCAAAATAATTTGCTTTTCAAACTATGAAGCACTCATTTGCCCGCTATTATTAAATCAAGACCAACTATTAAAAAGGCCTCAACTCCATTTAGTAAACAAACCTTGTAAGGTGAAATTGGGTTATTAGCGGAATGCTTAAATAAAACAGCAAAAAAGGTTAGCTTCCATTTAATTCTACTTAATTAATTTTGGTATCAGTAAGCGTGACTGTTTTCTCACTTCAATGGGTCTGGGTTCAATCCTAGCCGAGGTCGGTGGGATTTTTTCTGAGGCATAAAAATCTCTAGTCACGTCTTCCTTCGGAAGGGAAGTAAAGCCGTTAGCCGCCGTGTGGAAGCTGCCTTCCTGCACATTAGATTACCGTCAATGGATAGCAATCGATGTCCGTCGGTGATTGGCACTAGATTGCGGAACAGAGACCGATGTTAAATAAAGGAAAAGAAGTAATTTTGGTATCCATGACAGATACGTATTTCGAGTACAATGTGCAGTCTTCATAAGTGTCATTCCTACTAAAGACTGACAGTACTCATCCCCTTGGTAAAAACTTCAAAATCATGACCCTTATTACGAGTGTCACTTCACGATGAAAACGACAACCGCCATGACCCAGGACTCTCTCCAGGAAGCCGTATAACAATAAACTGCAACAGACGGAAGCTCCCCTCCGGAGTTTCTGCCCGAAACGAGAACCCCCTCTGGGTCTCTCTCCGGGAAAACCTTTCACAAAACTCTGTAATACAAAAACTCTGTAATCTGGGAAGCCCCTACCTGCGGCCTCCGGAGGCGAACCAGCCCAAGGCTGAAAACCTCCTTAATAAAGAAAACCTAACCTAACCACTTCACCGTGAGTAATAATGTAAGTGACATCGATAATAAAGGCCCATAGGGCCCCAGAGACGAACCAGCCCAAGGCTGAAAGTCTCTTCAATAAAGAAAAAAAAAGGCCCATAGGTATAACAATGAAACCAAATGGAACCTACCTAACTAATAATAACTAAAGATTAAAAAAAGGGAAAAAAGAATTTTAATTTTAAGACAATTTTGTCGCGAACCGAAGTCCGTGGTAATTCTCCTCTAACCTATTGTGTTTTAGGTTTGCGAAAGTGGGTTTCGGTTGGCGGGAAAATGGCCTTACAAGGTTTGTTTACAAAATGAAAATGAGGACTTTTTTATTGTTGGTCTTGAAATATGCAAATGATAGCTAATTTTATAAGTAAAATGGAAGCTATTTCATTTGGCGCAAATTTGCCCATATTATTGATATTAATCTTTTCGGTAAACTCCGCGAAGGCAGTTCATTAGAACAATCGTAGTAGGCAGTTGCAGTATGTGGGATATTGTCCACGAGCACCGTTTGAAGAACACGTTTCTCAAGTTTGGATGAACTCATACGAAAAATTTAATCGAGCTAGTAAAGTTCAATCATTGATCAACCTTTCCATTCGTTAAAGTTTTTTTTTTTTTTTTTTTTTTAATTCTTTATTTAAGAGATTTTTAGCCTTAGGCTAGTTCATCTCTAACCATTCGTTAAAGTAAATTATTCGTTGCTGCTACATATATAAAACAAAATTGGTTTACTAATGGATCCGAGATCCTGGATCGTATCAAGAAGTGATCAAGAAGGATTGTTGAATTCTTAGACTATGTGGAGGATGCCACAAGGGGCTCGGATAAGGCAGTAAATATTCAACCACCCACCCATGGTTTTTGAAAAAAAAAAATTCTGGGGAAACTAAAAAATTAGACATGTTTTGATTTCAATATTTAACAGATCCTTATATTACTCAGGACTTTGAAAGTTGACTAAATCATAGAGATTTCCCTGTGGACGATCAGCCAATGCTCAAATCAGGCTCATACGAGTTTGATGATAGGTAATGATTGTATTGACGACGATTATGATCACGAAATATATGATTGTGGCATGTAGCAAATATGATAATAGGTTTTAAATGTACAAATTTAACTTTTTTTACATAATAACATATTGCATATTAACATATTAGATTTTGCTCTTTATTGTTGATTTGTGATAAAAATCACCGACAAAAGGTCTGAACAATATAAAAATCTATGAATTAAAAAAAAGTCTTCCGAAAAGGTGATTTAAAAACATGGGTAAAAGAAAACTACGTCAGTTCAGTAGGCCTCTTAAAAGTACGCTGGGATGAAAATAATAAGATTTTCATCTTCATCGTGCTCAGTAGCATACATTTAACTAATATTTGAGTCCCAAGATGACTGACACACCACAAGCAAGCTTATTTAGAGAGCGATGAAATCGAATGTATGGAAGTAATAGCAACTGGAGCCATTCTCAAAAAACGAATTTCCGCTTTACCGTTTAATATACCGAGCGTGGAAATTTCCTCGTTTCATTATTATAAAATGTATTAATTATTGATACCAGGTTCCACTTCATCAAAGCTACCTTTCTAAGAAGCTACCGTCAACGGTTAGCACCGATCGTTTTTTCGAAGTAAACAGCCAACCATTTCCATAAAATTACAGCTTATGAATTATTAAAAATACGCACGTAACGCTTTCCTGTTGATACTGGAGAGCTTGGAATGTATCATCATTACATAAAACTCGACGATATTTTCCCAAGAATGCGCCTGATCAGTGCGAAAATAACAGCGCACAAGGTCGAAATGATATTTTATTGCACCGTTTATTACCACCACAGATTGTTTTCCTTTCATTGGATAACGGCCGTAGCCCATTCGTAACAACCACCTGGATTAGGACTATATGTCTAGATACGATACCTGAGAATTCAGAAGACTCCTTGTTTGAAGTCGGACGTCGCTCCCTTCGGGACAGTATTCGGTATGGTCGCTCTTTACCACGTGATTTACGCGAAATTTGACAGCCGCGGGCCAGCGTCTCCTAAACAAAATAGACTGTAAATGAATCTTAAATGACCATTGCTCAAGTAGTAAAAGTTGAAATTGTTTGACAACACTAAGATGCGGTGACATGAGTAAAATGCGGGATATGACTAACGTTAAGGACTCGGAAAATAATTGATAAATTAATTAGTATTTTTTTTTCTCGTCTGTCTATGTTGCGTCGTCTCGAGATTTAATACCGTCTACCAAATGTGCAATCTTCTGATAACAGTTTCTAGTTCATTAACGGTGATATAAATTCACTGATTATTCGTTTTGGCAGTCAAACACGGTGTGCTATGCTGAAACTAGTATATTCACCATCACTTTCCCTTCCTCAATGTAAGAGAACACAGACAAGCAGATGCAACATGCGATAGCTGTTCATTTATTCCACGCCTACATGACTATCAAAGAAAGAAGAAGAAGTTGACATTTTCCATTTGCACCCCTCCTCTGTTGAAGTTTTTCATCGACTTTTATACACAAGTACTTACTGAATTTCAACAGCCCTTATCGGGGGGCTGCTTCTGCTCGAAACTCACTGGACTATATAAATGAAAGTGAAAACAGGGGCAAATAGCACTATACCCTCACGCCCAGCGTTCGTTTTATGATGTCGTCTCCACCACTCCTTGGTGCCATAAATTCTCCAGTGAACAGGATAAGTGTCGTGGTGTGGCAGCCACACTGACTTGGGTTTACCACACGAAGATTTTGCATTAGATACTGGTGAACCCTCCCGATACCTACCATGGTGGTTGTCAGAAACGTATCGTGAAATCTCAACCATGAAATACAGGTTAAAACTAAATGAGACATAGAAGAGTGGGTCTATTATTTACAAAAACTCACCAATTTCACAGCGAATTTATGCCAGCTCTCTCGACAAATCAAATTCTCGCCAAGGGAAGCTTCTTCAGGGCAGGCTGAAGGCTAATATAAAGTTAATAATTAACGAGTTTCGACGACGCAATGCAAAAGAAGACGTTTAGTCTGCATTCTTTCCTGCCAAAGCCCATATCGATCGTTGAATTGGCTTCTTTACTTGTGGAAGAATGCTGTTCTTGTCGGCAAATTGCCATCTGGCATCGAATAACAACTTTCGGAAATTTATGAATAATTTTGACAACAACCCTCATTGGAAAGTTGGAACAATCGTTGCTTTCACTAGCCACTTCAAATTGATTCGATGGTCCTGGGGGATTACTTGACATACCATAATGAGCCATAAAACAGGGAACCCTGAAACAATTTGCATTAATGGACTCCCCCAAACAAACCGTTTAATGGACTCCCCAAAATGAAGACTTTTCCAGAAATAGAGCAACACCAAATTATAGCTCAATTAAAATTTTAACGGGATATTTCAAGGATAGATGTACGACATAACATAACAGAATATAGCACTGTCTATGTTTGTACATTAGGGTGGCCCAAAATACCACTTTGTCTGAAAACCCTCCAAATGATAGTTAAGGATGCAACACTGAAAAAAAACATGATTTAGAGGTAGCCCCGAAGAAATTTTTGAAAAAAAGACGATATTTCATAATAATAACTGAACAAATATTTCTAATGCTTCGAAATTCAGGGCACTAGCGGCGCCGGTGGTATAGTGGTAAGTGCGAATAACTCTCACCCCAGCAGGCCTGGGTTCAATCCCCAGGGATTAACATCTCTTTTTTTTTTTTCTTTATTATAGAGATTTTTAGCCATAGGCTAGTTCATGGCTAAAAATCTCTATAATAAAAAAAAAAAAAAGAGTGGCTAGTGAAAGCAACGAAAGCATAACATCTCTGATCACGCCTTGCTTCGGAAGGGAAGAAAATCCGTTGGTCCCCGGTTCATGAGTTGATGGGTCCAGGTGTGGGAGCTGCCTCTTTGGCGTCGGTAGCATTGGTGCTCAGCACGGAAAACTAGATCGGCGGAAAACAAATCAATGAAACAAATTTAGGGTCCGCAAACCCTTTTACACATTCCTTTGCTATTTATGAAAAATGTCTCGGCCTGCTAGTTGCTCTATTTTCTCATGATATTTTTTTTTTTCAATTCAAGAAATCATGATTTTTTTAGGAGTATAAGGACGTTTAATCATCAAAAGTGAGTATCAAAATAATACCTGTAGTTGATTGAAAACAGCTAATAGAAGATAAATTTAATGACAAAGGTTTAGGCACAGACAAACAGACATAACTCTCGCAACTTGTTCATCGAACAAGCATTTAACGGTAAATTTAAAAGTATTGTAGTTGGTAGTACCGATACCTGTGGCGCGCATAGTTCATTCCCTTGCGTTTGATGTTTACATACTACCGCCATCTGTTTTGCGTACTACCCACCATAGTGTACTAAACAGATGGCAGTAATGTTTTAGCGACGATGTTTTACAGTGAGAAATATTCAATGCTTTATGTCTGTTTGTCTGTGGTTTAGGATTTCTTTATTAGGGAGGCTTTCAGCCTGGGGCTGGTTTATCTCGGATTTAACGACAAACAGCTTTTCCTGGAAAATTATATGACTATTTCTAATGTTCCAGTTCGGGATATTTTGGCTAGACGCGATCTGGAGTTTATGAAACTCATATATGTTTACTTTAAGGATATTAACCTTAGATTGTAAGTTTGATTAACCTTGTGTTTAGTTTGTATTTTGTACGTCTGGAGTTTTTTTTTTCAATGTTTGTTTTCAAGATGAATAGAAATAATTTCATGCTTTAAGATTAATTAAATATTTGTATCGTAAACCACATTTAAAACCTCCTTCTTCCCTTTTCTCATCCAAAAAATTGTAAATCTCCACTAACCTCGAGACGACCGCGAGTACTCGGTACAGTTCCTTTAACTTTAAATATAAGACAGTAATAATGTATAACGCAAAGGATAACTCGGCTCTGTAAAGTTTATTCGATTGAGCCTGTACAAATAAAGTAATTACAAAAAAAAATATATGACAATTTATGATTGCTATTAAGTCATTCATGATTTTCTGGAGAAGGGATACATTTTACATATTTTCTATAAAAAAAAAATTTACAGAGTATCGCAAAATCTAGCGAACACCTGAATGGACTTTTTTTCAACACTGCGAATAGATCAAGAGGCAAGACTACTTGGATATATTTGAAATTATCATCAAAATTTTCTAAATATCAACGAAAATATTTAAGTATTTTCAAAAACTAATACAAGTAAAAGGTACAGCTTTTCATGGTGAACATCGTTTGTTCTGCGGATACTTTTAAATTACGTCAAAGTCAATAAAATGACAATATCAAAAAATAATCTGAAATATTCAGCCATGGTGTCCTACCCCATTGAAAAGATATATTTTTGAAATCTTAGCTGGTGGTTGAACAACCATTTTTTGATTTATCGGTATAGTATAGTATAGTATAGTATAGTATAGTATAGTATAGTATAGTATAGTATAGTATAGTATAGTATAGTATAGTATAGTATAGTATAGTATAGTATAGTATAGTATAGTATAGTATAGTATAGTATAGTATAGTATAGTATAGTATAGTATAGTATAGTATAGTATAGTATAGTATAGTATAGTATAGTATAGTATAGTATAGTATAGTATAGTATAGTATAGTATAGTATAGTATAGTATAGTATAGTATAGTATAGTATAGTATAGTATAGTATAGTATAGTATAGTATAGTATAGTATAGTATAGTATAGTATAGTATAGTATAGTATAGTATAGTATAGTATAGTATAGTATAGTATAGTATAGTATAGTATAGTATAGTATAGTATAGTATAGTATAGTATAGTATAGTATAGTATAGTATAGTATAGTATAGTATAGTATAGTATAGTATAGTATAGTATAGTATAGTATAGTATAGTATAGTATAGTATAGTATAGTATAGTATAGTATAGTATAGTATAGTATAGTATAGTATAGTATAGTATAGTATAGTATAGTATAGTATAGTATAGTATAGTATAGTATAGTATAGTATAGTATAGTATAGTATAGTATAGTATAGTATAGTATAGTATAGTATAGTATAGTATAGTATAGTATAGTATAGTATAGTATAGTATAGTATAGTATAGTATAGTATAGTATAGTATAGTATAGTATAGTATAGTATAGTATAGTATAGTATAGTATAGTATAGTATAGTATAGTACGCTCGATTTTCAACTTGTTTCGTAATCGATGGGTTTTAGTCAAACTATTGGCATATGATAGATTTGTACTGTGACTACAATAACAATCAAAATTTCTAAAAATGGTTAGGATTAATCACCGTCGACATGTACTAATTTGATTAGATTAGCTTTTTCGGTTTCAACGTCACCATAAAAGCCAATCTAATCAAATGTCTAAAAGTTTGAGTTATCAAGAAAATGTTTTAAAATAAAGATTTTCAAAGAGTTTTCCAGATTTTAAGGTGTCGCTAAATCTCAGTTATTAGATCAAACTCGTTGCAGCTTACCCAAAGTACATTGGGATATCAAATTTAATTAAAAAAAAATGAATAAATTCACCATCCATTAATTTTATTATTAGCTTAAAAATATGCAAAAAATCATACGCAAATAGATGATCTAATATTTAAAATTATTTGTTACTAATTGCAATTCATCGAAATATATTAGGTAATTTTTAAACTTTTGCCCTACTCCTAAACTTATCTTATCTTTGATCTTCATACTGATATTTATATGCACAAAAAATCAGAGAACTCTGAAGAGTTCTATCACTCGATTATTTAGAACAAATCATATTTTATGAGCGATATTGCAAATATATAAATATTTTATAGGCGATTTGCAAAACTATGAGTATCTTTTCTCTAGAAAGTAATAAATCATCCATAAATTATTGTCATTGAATTTCTCATCTGATCTGATTGCATGTTGCATTATGCATCTACACAAAATGTTATTTTGGGCCACCCTAATGTACATACATCTGTCTGTTTTTGCTGTCATCTACTGAACCGATTTGTTCATTTCTGTCTCCCTGA